CCTCAGGAGTTAGATTAGGTGTCACATCCACTCCCAGGCCTCTTTCTCGAATCGTTACAGGTAGGCTGTTCCCCATCATTGTGTACTGTCCCTTTGGTCTCCTGTCACCTGATCCCATTTCCATAACTTTACATTTACTGGTGTTAAACTCCAGTAGCCATTTCCCTGACCATCTCTGCAACCTGTTTAAGTCCTCTTGGAGGATCCTACAATCCTCGTCTGTCACAACTCTTCTCGTTAATTTTGCGTCATCCGCAAACATTGACATGTATGTGTGTGTGTGTGTGTGTGTGTGTGTGTGTGTGTGTGTGTGTGTGTGTGTGTGTGTGTGTGTGTGTGTGTGTGTACTAACCTAGTTACCTAGTTGTGCTTGCGGGGGTTGACCTCTGGCTCTTTGGTCCCGCCTCTCAACTGTTAGTCAACTGATGTGCAGGTTCCTGAGCCTACTGGGCTCTATCATATCTACACTTGAAACTGTGTATGGAGTCACCCTCCACCACATCACTTCCTAATGCATTACATTTGTCTACTATTCTGACACTAAAAAAATTCTTTCTAACGTCTCTATGGGTTCATTTGGGCACTCAATTTCCACCTGTGTCCCCTAGTGGGTGTACCCCTGGTGCTATATAGTCTGTCCTTATCTACCTTATCAATTCCTGTGCGTGCGTGTGTGTGGGGGGAGGTCCTCACAGCCGTCCGAGCCGCCCATGCAATAAAGTTAGCAGTACCAATGTCTGCAACATTCACACCTGTTCCCGAAGACCAAGTGTAGTGCAGCAGTTCTTCGCCTTGGTGTCACATTTCACATTGAGTACAAGTGTATTGCAAAAAGGTGTAGGGCAACCAGTAAATCTTGCATGGTCTACACTGCGGAAGCTGCAAAGGTTGGCATGCAAGACACAGTGAAGTGAATGCTATCATCAAGAGGAACCTTCCACAGTTGAAAGAGAAACTCAATATCCGCAGGGCCCAAACCCTGACGATCCAGCACGTCGTCCAGAGGATTGCACTATATCCCTGGATGATAACAAAAATGGGGTGGAACAACACCTGCGTATCCACCCGAGCCAATACCTGTGTCCTCCGTGGTGGCCAGGCGTGTGGTGTAGCCAGTCAGAGGGAAGCAGACAAAAGCAATATGTACAGGCAACTGGCCCATCGGTACAAATGTGTCCCCATAGCTACTGAGACTTTCGGCCTCTCGGGCAAGTATATATGAACGTTCTCAATTTTTTTTTTCCTCGTTCCTGTCCGGAATCTGGAAAGTTCGAAGACATTTTCAACTTAAATTAATATTTTTCACTTCATTCTGGTTTTGTTGTATGTCTAGCTTCCACCTATTCTCGTTCTATTAGTATTTGTTGTAAAACATTTAAAGTGAATTCTCTTGAGTATCTTGTATATCTTGATCATGTTTCCTCTCTCTTCTTGTGATGATAGATCTAACTAGGCTTTTCTTCGAATCTCATTCTAGTTCTGGGACCAGATTATTCCAAACTAATGCACTTTTTTCTCTTTCCTTGTGTATTTTGGGAGAAGGTACTCCACATACAGCTGCATATTCAAGGACTGATCTCACGTAGGTGATATACATTTTTCTGAATGACTCTTTATTGAGGTTCGTGACCGCTGTTTTGATGGCCAGTTTCGTGTGTGAGTAATGTGTGCGTGTTATCTCGACTTGCGAATTATTTATATCTGTATTTTTATGTTATAAATGATTGTTCTCTCTCGGTGTGTTCAGCTCGCCAGTGGATGACGTGGCTTTTATCTTAGTGTTGAAATGTTTTAAACTCTTTGTCTACGAGGAAGTTCTCAGCGATCTTGTTGTAGTGAAGAAAAGCCACCTATTTGTCCAAGAGTTTCGCAAGACGTCATTGTTTCCAATCAGGTATTGAACACGGAAGTGAATTATCAGTTATTGTTTGAGCTGAATGTATCCAATTCATATTTACATGCATTGAGCAAAGAATTTTGCAAAATATTGAGCGAGAGAGAGAGAGAGAGAGAGAGAGAGAGAGAGAGAGAGAGAGAGAGAGAGAGAGAGAGAGAGAGTGAGAGAGTGAGAGAGAGAGTAAGTAAGAAAGAAAGTGTAAAGATTGAGACCATGAAAGCTAGCAGAGTAGCCCCAAAAAATCCACACGGAGCGTCCTCCTACTTTCTCCACTTTATAATGTGTGTTCCTGATCACAGCATCTCTCTTCCTCGTCCTCCTTTTTTTTTACATCAACCAACATATCCGCTTGAGATTTCTAGACCGGCTACCAGCGCGTCGTAACTCTCTTCAGACACAGGACCTGAAGACCTTGCAGCCACCAGCCTCAGCGGCGCCCTTCCGACTCCCACCTGCCGCCAGTGTTAAACAACACGAGCGGGTGAGTTGAGGGTTTCTCCTGGGTAAGGAGGAGCCGAAGGCGCCGGCTCCAGGGGCCTCGATCTTGCCCAGGTGTGTCAACAGCGAGGTGTGTGTGTGGTCGCGGTACACAACATGTGGCCCACAGTAAGTGTTGTTTGGGTGTAGTGTGTGGGTGCCGGGTTAAGATGTACACACATACTAACGCACATGAAAACACGCACACACGAATCCACACAAAGCGATATTCGTACAACGACCCCCCCCCCTTCCCTCCCGCCTCCCTCCCGCAACACACGCATATGTGAACAGTTTAAAGAAGAGATAATTGAGGCTAACTCCATCCACAGTTTCAAGACTGTAGTTAGGCAGAAGTACAGTAATTATCAGGAAAAAGTTCAGTCAGTGTTACACAGAACCTTTGGGATGTAAAATAACAAATTACTGGAGTGAACGATATGGAAGAAAATGCAGAATAGAACCAGTGAAAAGCAGAGGTGCCATAGGCACAATCAGAGAACACTGTATAAACATCAGAGGTCCACGGTTGTTCAACGTCCTCCCAGCGAGTATAAGAAATATTGCCGGAACAACCGTGGACATCTTCAAGAGGAAACTAGATTTATTCCTCCAAGGAGTGCCGGACCAACCGGGCTGTGGTGGGTATGTGGGCCTGCGGGCCGCTCCAAGCAACAGCCTAGTGGACCAAACTCTCACAAGTCAAGCCTGGCCTCAGGCCGGGCTTGGGGAGTAGAAGAACTCCCAGAACCCCATCAACCAGGTATCAACCAGGTATCAACCAGGTATCAACCAGGTATCAACCAGGTATCAACCAGGAAGGGTGAGGACAAGGAGCTGAGATATGAATACTCGGGGATGAAGCCAGAGGGTCGGGAGACATTGCTATAGACAACAATAAGGCGGGGCCCAGGAGATGGAGCTCACCCTGACAGCGCACATGTGTGACAATACACTATCGAGATCATTCTCTCGGCTCCCCTCCCCCCCTCCTCGTACTTTTCCCAATACCACAACCACTTCTCTAAATAGTTATATTTTGAAATAGGAAATAAACCCTCTTGTGACCCTCGGCACACGCCCACACCGCCACACGCCCACACCACCACACACCACCACACGCCCACACCACCACACACCACCACACACCGCCACACACCGCCACACGCCACACCACCACACACCGCCACACCACCACACACCGCCACACACCGCCACGCCCACACCACCACACACCGCCACACACCGCCACACGCCACACGCCCACACCACCACACACCGCCACACGCCACACACACCACCACCGCCACACACACACGCCCACCGCCACACGCCCACACCACCACACACCACCACACACCGCCACACGCCCACACCACCACACACCGCCACACGCCCACACCACCACACACCGCCACACACACACCGCCACACGCCCACCACCACACACCGCCACACGCCCACCACACACCGCCACACGCCCACACCACCACACACCACCACACACCACCACACACCGCCACACGCCCACACCGCCACACACCGCCTCACGCCCACACCACCACACACCGCCACACGCCCACACCACCACACACCGCCACACGCCCACACCACCACACGCCCACACCACCACACACCGCCACACGCCCACACCACCACACACCGCCACACCACCACACACCGCCATACGCCCACACCACCACACACCGCCTCACGCCCACACCACCACACACCGCCACACGCCCACACCACCACACACCGCCACACGCCCACACCACCACACACGGCGCCAATCATAATAACCAGCCACACAGGCGCCATTCACACCTTGAGCAAAGGCTTTATATTCCGTAAACAAGAACTTGTGTGCGAGTGATATGGGTTTAGACGTGACTGTGAGTCAGGACGACGTTAGCGGCGGGAGTGTGTCTAGCTCTGTACACAGGAAGCTGTGTGATCACTCCTCATACACAACTGTGTGATCACTCCTCATACACAACTGTGTGATCACTCCTCATACACAACTGTGTGATCACTGCTTTACACAGCGATCACCCAGGTGGACACCAGCCTAACACCCGTCTCTTCTTCCTCCTCCTGTCCTACTTCCATCTCTTCCTGTCTCTCCTACCCCCCGTTCCAACACCTCTTTAACCTCGCTTCCCTCTTCCCTTATCCCCATCCGTTCTGTTCCTCGTGATCTTCCTTCCCCTCCTCCCTCTCGCAAGTCACCTCTCACAGGCTGCGGAGCTGGCTAGGATCACCTTAAGTGGTCCATGATAGTTGGGGTGAGAGGTGGTGTGGAAGGCAGCTGTGACCTCTCCTGGTGAGTGGGTGTAGCATGGAAGGCAGCTGTGACCTCTCCTGGTGTGTGGGTGTAGTGTGGAAGGCAGCTGTGACCTCTCCTGGTGTGTGGGTGTAGTGTGAAAGGCAGCTGTGACCTCTCCTGGTGTGTGGGTGTAGTGTGGAAGGCAGCTGTGACCTCTCCTGGTGTGTGGGTGTAGTGTGGAAGGCAGCTGTGACCTCTCCTGGTGTGGGTGTAGTGTGGAAGGCAGCTGTGACCTCTCCTGGTGTGTGGGTGTAGCATGGAAGGCAGCTGTGACCTCTCCTGGTGTGTGGGTGTAGCATGGAAGGCAGCTGGTCGGCAGTACACGCGTCTCTTGGACCTCCAGCCAAACCAAATTCTATTTTCAGGTGAGCGTGTGAACACCGCGGTTGGTGGTGGCGGTGTAACAGCTCGGGGTAGTTAAGGAACACCTGTCTTGCCAAGTTATTAAGCTTTTTGGGGGGAAATTAACTTAAAACTGTTTTTTTGGGAAGTGAATGATGTGATTTAATGTTTACACTATGTATATACTGCAGGTTGGGTTGGGTGGCCGGCGTTGCTCGGGTGCTGGGTACCACGCCAAGTCTCTTCACCGTTACCATATTACCTACACACCATCTTCATCACCGTAACCTTCACTGTACGTGGGCTGAAGTTAGTGACGCAGGGTGGATGTTGAGGGTGTGTGTCGCAGGAGGCAGCTGGTGGCAAGGAAGTGCACTTAAAGTATCACACCTTGAGACCACCTGGCGTTGATGAACACGGGGCTCCACCAGCAGCTGCCACTTACACAAGTTATCTATGAGCTGTATCACCGAGGCTCAGGTATACAATAACGAGTTACCAATGGTAGGGCCACTGTGAGGGCCACGGAGGAGCCCAAGCTAACCCCAAACCTAGAGAGTGCCTCGTGTGATTGACTATTGGAGATGGTCGCTGTTTGCTAACACTTCTATCATCTGCTGTAACCATGATGGAGTGCACGAGTGAAAGTTACAAACGGTGCGGTGCATATTGTTATGCTTTTACTTCAGAAACACGTGATTATTATATTACAAAGTGAAGGGAGACATATCTTAAAGTATATATCTTTGTGCATTTCCGTCTTGTTGGTCGATATTTGCTATCTTCGGCACAGTTAAATGTCGAAGATACGGGGGTATTTTTTTTCTGTTCTCCAGGGTGAGGGCAGTAATATTAAGGGAACATCAACTAAATCAAGCAGATTTGAGGCAAAGTGAAATTCACACCAGTTCCACCATCTATTATCATTCTATTATTCAGGAAGTACCGCACGTCTATGGGTCATCCAATAAGGTTAGCAGACTTCTAGATGTTACCGCTGCTAGGCTTAGGCTAGGCTACAAGTACCTCTGGGAGTTTGTAACACCTGATGTTGATTTGACTAAGTGTAAACTCTGTCAGCAGAACTATTCGCATATTTTACGTCATTATATAATGGAATGTGAAAAAATCGCGGAATTCAGAGATAACACCATCAATGGTGTCCAAGAAATGTGTAAGTACTTCATTTATAATGATGTGCTGCCGGGAATCTTAGCAAAGTATCCAAAATTTGCTTACTGTAGGTGCAGCCTGCACACTGACCTGGCCCTGGCGCCAGTTCCTGCGGCTGACCTGGCCCTGGCACCAGTCCCTGCGGCTGACCTAGCCCTGGCGCCAGTCACTGCCGCTGACCGGGCCCTGGCGCCAGTCACTGCCGCTGACCGGGCCCTGGCGCCAGTCCCTGCGGCTGACCTGGCGCCAGTCCCTGCGGCTGACCTGGCGCCAGTCCCTGCGGCTGACCTGGCGCCAGTCCCTGCGGCTGATCTGGCCCTGGCGCCAGTCCCTGCGGCTGACCTGGCCCTGGCGCCAGTCCCTGCGGCTGACCTGGCCCTGGCGCCAGTCCCTGCGGCTGACCTGGCGCCAGTCCCTGCGGCTGACCTGGCGCCAGTCCCTGCGGCTGACCGGGCCCTGGCGCCAGTCCCTGCGGCTGACCTGGCCCTGGCGCCAGTCCCTGCGGCTGACCTGGCCCTGGCGCCAGTCCCTGCGGCTGACCTGGCCCTGGCGCCAGTCCCTGCGGCTGACCTGGCCCTGGCGCCAGTCCCTGCGGCTGACCTGGCCCTGGCGCCAGTCCCTGAGGCTGACCTGGCCCTGGCGCCAGTCCCTGAGGCTGACCGGGCCCTGGCGCCAGTCCCTGAGGCTGACCGGGCCCTGGCGCCAGTCCCTGAGGCTGACCTGGCGCCAGTCCCTGCGGCTGACCTGGCCCTGGCGCCAGTCCCTGCGGCTGACCTGGCCCTGGCGCCAGTCCCTGCGGCTGACCTGGCCCTGGCGCCAGTCCCTGCGGCTGACCTGGCCCTGGCGCCAGTCCCTGCGGCTGACCTGGCCCTGGCGCCAGTCCTGCCGTAGGGGGAACAAGCACTACCGTAACCAGAAGTGGGCCGGATCCTCTGAAGATTTTGTTTCCCCAAACAGGAAAGCATTAAACCATTCAGAAGTGACTGCACATACGACTAGCTTATTCGCACATCAAGCTCCTCATTCCCCCTTCCTCCTTTATCTTCCCTCTCTCTCTCTCCCTCTCTCTCTCTCCTCCCTCCATCATGCATGGGGGCCAGGTCTCTCTCTCCCTCTCTCTCTCTCCTCCCTCCATCATGCATGGGGGCCAGGTCTCTCTCTCCCTCTCTCTCTCTCCTCCCTCCATCATGCATGGGGGCCAGGTCTCTCTCTCCCTCTCTCTCTCTCCTCCCTCCATCATGCATGGGGGCCAGGTCTCTCTCTCCCTCTCTCTCTCTCCTCCCTCCATCATGCATGGGGGCCAGGTCTCTCTTCTCTCTCTCTCTCTCCTCCCTCCATCATGCATGGGGGCCAGGTCTCTCTTCTCTCTCTCTCTCTCCTCCCTCCATCATGCATGGGGGCCAGGTCTCTCTCTCCCTCTCTCTCTCTCCTCCCTCCATCATGCATGGGGGCCAGGTCTCTCTCTCCCTCTCTCTCTCTCCTCCCTCCATCACGCATGGGGGCCAGGTCTCTCTCCCCCTCTCTCTCTCTCCTCCCTCCATCATGCATGGGGGCCAGGTCTCTCTCTCCCTCTCTCTCTCTCCTCCCTCCATCATGCATGGGGGCCAGGTCTCTCTTCTCTCTCTCTCTCTCCTCCCTCCATCATGCATGGGGGCCAGGTCTCTCTTCTCTCTCTCTCTCTCCTCCCTCCATCATGCATGGGGGCCAGGTCTCTCTCTCCCTCTCTCTCTCTCCTCCCTCCATCATGCATGGGGGCCAGGTCTCTCTCTCCCTCTCTCTCTCTCTCCTCCCTCCATCATGCATGGGGGCCAGGTCTCTCTCTCCCTCTCTCTCTCTCCTCCCTCCATCATGCATGGGGGCCAGGTCTCTCTCTCCCTCTCTCTCTCTCTCCTCCCTCCATCATGCATGGGGGCCAGGTCTCTCTTCTCTCTCTCTCTCTCCTCCCTCCATCATGCATGGGGGGCACCTGCTGGCCTTCCTCCCCCAGGCAGGGGGGGGGGGCAGCTCTCCCCCCCCCCCATCTGTTAAGGAAAATCTGCAGATTTTTTCCCCAGTTTTTGGGGAGTGGTTTTGCAGTCAAGTTTGACGCTGATATGTTCCTCACCTGGCAGTAGGCGACTCGCAGTCATCTCTGAGGTTTACAACCTGTAAGGACCCCCGTTGCTGCTTCACTCTATTCCTGGCTATGACCCTCTGTTACCTGTCTGTCAGGGTCTCCCTTCTGTAGTAAACTGTGTGTGTGTGTGTGTGTGTGTGTGTGTGTGTGTGTGTGTGTGTGTGTGTGTGTGTGTGTGTGTGTGTGTGTGTGTGTGTGCGCGCGCGCTACGGGGGGTGCGTGCACGCAGGTGACAGCCCTTCAACAGTGCCAGAGCGACGCCGCATGCGGTCAGCTCTGTGTTACCCAACAGGTGTAACAAGGTGTTACACCTGTTACTAACAACTCTGCGCCTCAGGTGTTGTGTGTGACTGTCGAGAATATGAGGTTGTTGACACACGTGTGCGATGATTGCAATTGATGGTTAAAGAGGTGAGGGAGGGGGAGGTGTCTGAGTGTAGGGTAGTGACCGTGTGCTCCCGTCTGCTCCTGAAGGAGTGTCTTGGTATAACATCCTTGTAGCTTTATAATTTCGTCTTGGGTTAGATATAAGGATGGAAGATCACAGGTGCTTACATTGTAACTATAAGGTGTGAAGGATAGATGAAATTGTTTATGAAATAATCTAAGATGAGGTCTGATAAAGACCTTTTGTGCCCTCTGTAATGCTTTTGCGCTACCGCTCACAGGATGAGTATGGGGTGCACAATAAACTAGCCGCCTTCGGCGGCAACAATCAAATCAAAGGTACTTGCTGAAATGAAAGGATGAAAAAAGGCTTTAATTTACTAACTTGGGAAGTTAGTAAATTAAAGTGATTTACTTTACTAAATTTACCAAGTTGGGAAGATGATGAGCAAGTCTGACACGTGGTGGCCTTGAGTATGGAGTCCCCGACACAGCTTGTATCGTGTGAGAGGCGTGGAATGAAGGCCACTGCGACACGGAGATGCTCCGAGTGAAGGAGGTGGTGCCCCCTTGAGAAATGCCGTGAGAGAAGGACACGAACCTTCATTCACAAGACGCGTGTCTCTACCTCCTCCGGAGACGTGTGTGAGGAGACACATATAGCAGCAAGGAAAGGCAGGACAAGTATATTAACTAATCTATCGATCATAATGAGCATTTAGCATATCTATACTTGATATAATACCACACGGGGGACGATATGCTCTCGTTATATCGGAAAATAATTAAGTTTAATGTTAATATTTTCTATGATATTAACTTTTGTGTTGAAAGTTTAACACTGTGTTGATAGTTACGTGGTGGGTATACTTCACATGTATTAATACGTAGGTCTTCAGTATTGCCGAACATACAAAATATACTGAAGCTTTACATATGATATACTGCACTAAGCGGCCTCCATACATAATTACTCACAACTAACTCGATTCTTATATTGCTAATTCATTGAACTGGAGAAGAACCTTCTGAGTACTCACTCACTCTAAGTAACATCTTGGTACTCAGTATAAGTAACATCTTGGTACTCAGTATAAGTAACATCTTGGTACTCAGTATAAGTAACATCTTGGTACTCAGTATAAGTAACATCTTGGTACTCAGTATAAGTAACATCTTGGTACTCAGTATAAGTAACATCTTGGTACTCAGTATAAGTAACATCTTGGTACTCAGTATAAGTAACATCTTGGTACTCAGTATAAGTAACATCTTGGTA